TAGATGTGACCGCAAGTATGCGTTTTGTGTAGAGTAAACACGTCTCTTGTGCGTTCATCAACGCAGTATTTTTTCCTTTCTTTAATTTTTCATTATTTTAGTATTATTTTTAAAGCAAATGATCACGAAAGAAACTAAAATCTGGATTGTGATACAGTTAATAAGTCACACGAAACATCTTGGATGGCGATGGACCACTGCACGTAAGCTTTCTATTTACGCAATTTGGCAATAAACACAAAGCTGGCAGATAAAACGAAATCTCACAACCTAATTTGGGGTTTTAGCTGGACATTTCAGGATGTCGTTCTTGGGTTTACATAAGAAAAAAAAGAACATCGAATATATTTATAGCAAAGAGACATTCACTTCATTGAAGTCAGCCGAAATTGCTAAAAAATTGCAAAACAAGGAAGAAAACCGAACAAACAATCAAACTGGATTCAAAAGAAGTTTTGTTGACTTCCGCACGCAATCTAATTTGTATAGGGTTCCACAAATGCCTTGATCTATAGTACACGTAGATGTTCCTGATTAAACACAGAACACTTAGGTTGTGTGAGTAATCATCACAGTTCAAACACAGGAGCAGGGTGCCAAAACAGGAGCAGACAAAACAAGAGCAGGGTGCCATCAAGAGAACAAAAAATGCCCTTTGGGTGAAAATGGTCTGCAAACCTCTATTTAACTGCAACAGCAAAATACAGGGACAAATCCGAGGGGCAGCTGAAAGGGCAAACAACGTTAAACCTTGTTGAAATAAATGAATATCTGCGACAATTGCAAGCAAGAATGCTTAAACAACGAACTTAATTTTGATATACGTTTTCTTCATATTTGCCCAGGCCCTATGTATAATAATTTGTTCTTTGTGTGTTTATTTCTGTGACATTTTATTCAAACATGTTTTCTTTTTCTGTATTATTGCATAAATAGCAATATAAGTATAGGTCAAAAAGCAGAAATTGGTAGACGCGTTTTTTTTTTCTTGTTCAAATACATGAATATCTGCGACACTTGCAAACAAGAAAGCTTAAACAACGAACTTAATTTTGAAATACCTTCTCTTCTTATTGGCCCATGCCCAAAGTATAATAATTTGTTCTTTGTGTGTTTATTTCTGTGGCATTTTATTCAAACATATTTTCATTTTTGGTATTACAGTATAAATAGTAATAAGTATAGATAAAAAAGCAGAAATTGGTAGACGCGTTTTTTTGGCCACAAATACCAATATTTGGGTGGATATATAATTGGATTATTGGTATACCCAATCTAAACACTTTCATGTCTCGCCAAGTCTGAGTGCCTTAAGACGACCGTGCGACAATGTCGGAAAATGAATAATGGATTGTAAACTGAACTTTCTAACAAAACGATGTTTTGTTATCTTATCAATTGAGTTAGGACATCTCATTGGGTTTACTACTCATTTGATATTGTACAAATGAGAAATGGGCTGAGATTTGACAAGCAGAGAAATCGCCGATAATACATAAGTCGTACAACTGACAACCGGGATTACAGCACCCTCCTTGCATACCGCTGGCGCACCTGAAATTTGAAATGACTAAACAGGATTCAGCAGGCGGAAAAAACTTTACTGTCCTGACGTCAACTAAGATAACAGGAAAGGCATTGAAATCAGGCAACTTTTCTCACTGGAAATGGCATTAAATATTCACAAAAACGGATTTACAATTCCCAAAACCATATCGGATCGTAAAAAGTGAAAAATATGAAACATTTTGTGTCTCCAAGCTTCTAATTCGTCGAGTGTGGCCAGGAAGGATAATAGTTGTCTTATTTCAACAAATTATGCTTTTCCTCGTCAAACTAAACCCAGAATTCTCAAGTTAACCATCAGAAGAGGCCAAAACAGCTTTAGCATTATCTTTAGTTTCGTTGGCTGCGAAGAAAAAGGCTATTATCGTGTCGTGTCGTTTTGACTGCCGCTCGTACTGCGGGCGCAGCTGCCGTATGCCAGGCTAATTCATATCTTGGGAAGAGTTAGCGAGGCCGCCGCGGAGATACATCCAATAATACCCTCTCTGTTTTAGAGTGTGTTCTTGCCTTTAATTTTGAAATAGATAGAAAGGTACAAAACCGACTGGGGAAACCAGCCTTTTAGGAGTATTTTGCTAAATAGCTAAGTAATAATAAACACTGCAACGTCTACTTAATGGCCAACCTCGGAGATGGAAGCTCTACCAGGCAATTAGAGAACTCAGTAAGATAGCGTTAAAAAGTGTAATTTACATTTTCGACTTTCACTAGCTGAGATAAAAACCCATGTTTTATCAGGGTATAAAACATAGAAAATGAGTGTTTTATTGTTTTTGCGGGTGGAAAATCTATATCATAAAGCAAATGAAGAAGCCTAAACCGTGTATTACACTGTGATAAAACACGACGGGCATTTGCGAACATTCGAGAAATGTAGAAAACACCCGCCAGCCGCTGGTGTTTTCAAATGTTTATCGCGTTTGGAAACCTGATGAAACCCTCACACTCGTTTTTGAAATAGTACTTCTCAAATACATTAATAATTCATGAAGTGACCAGCCAATAAATGATGTCTATCTTGGTCAGGTGGAAACACCAAATGAAACACCAAATGAAAACACGCCGTGTTTTGATATCAAAACACACGTGTTCATATCAAAATTACAGTAACAAAAGCAAAAAACTCAATATTGCTGTTTATTGTCATCAACTTACTAAAAACAACGAAAACAACTGTTCATCTTTGTCAGATACATCTTCTTTCTCCTCTCTTTTTGCCTGAAGCGCCACACCAGTACGAGTGCCGTCTTTCATCTCAGCGTTCAGTAGGCGACGAAATATTTCTAACCTTTTGAATACGGTAAAACCTTTTCGTTTATTATAAAAGTCAGATTGACAATAAAGACAAACACTGGTCACTTCCATATGCACATGCCTACCTCTTGTCCTTATAATCTAAAGGATTGAATGCGGATGCGCCCTTCACCTCCTCCAAATGCCTCTTTAGACCGCATACGATACCATACAACGTTCTTGGAGGACACCGGCCGCCCGTCTTATTTGCCACCTCCTGGATAAATTTAGCAAGCCAGTAGTTGAATGATAAAGCATCCATGTACTCCACATTGTCTTCAACAGAACACACGAGGTGAAAATTGTAATCTTTAAAAACGCTTCCAACTGCTAAATCCGGAAATTTCAATGTTCTCGACCTTTGCCATTCACGAAAAATTTCCACCGCCCACCTATCTTTGTGCATCGTGCTACTTGGTCTAGCTTCACTGACTAAAGCAGACTCTTCTTCGACTGTTCTCGAAACTCTAAAACGGAAGTTAGCTGCACTTGAATCCATCTCTCACAAGCACATGCGAAAATTACTTCCAAAAAAAATTCACGACCAGGCCAACTTTGAATAATTTACATACTAATTTTGTAATTAAACAATACAATCCAATAATAAATTACAACAATACAACAAAAGATGCTTTGAGAAGACATGTCAAAAACTCGTGCATTGTTTTTCGTTAATTTTTTTTTTGCGCGAGATCACTCCTTGTGCTCACCACTCACCAAAAGAGTTGTTTTACTGTCCATGTTTGCTATTCGTGGATATTTGTAGATATTGGACGCATGCGCATGGACTTGCATCGTTTCTGCATGGTCTGCAGTTCTAAAGTCTACCATTTTTTTTTTTCAGTTTAGGACCTGCTCTCTTGTGAGAATTTTTTTTATCCTCTGATTCAAGTATTTTTTTAATCGAATAAATGAATGAAGTTATTTGTAATAACTCAAGTCCCCACCAAAAAGGAACAAAAACAACAAAAACAATAACAATAATAATAATAATAATTATAACAATGATAATAATGATAATTATTTATTAATTTATATTGCGCTTTTTAACATACAATGATCACTGAGCGTATTACAATATTACAATATACCAAATACGTACGTAAACTAAATTTAACAATAAAGTAATTTAAGCACTAGAGGCTAAAAGCTAGCTTTAAAAGATATGTTTTAAGGTAAGATTCAAAAGTTAAAATAGAATCAATATTGCGCAGACTTGCTGGGAGCGCGTTCCACAGTGTCAGCGCAGCTACCCTGAAGATCTATCACCAAAAGAACGAAAATAAACATGCAAAAAATAAAGAAACTTCCTATATAGTGAAATCATGAAAGGCATTGCTTGCGTGCGAGAGCGAGCGCACGTTATATTCCACTTACCTTCTTTCAGGCGCGGTGAGGACTGAACGAAGGCCTGTGGACAAACAAACTTAACAAAACGTCGTTCCGGTAAACTAGGTTATGGTACACCCTCTGATTGGTCATTTTTGACAAGTTTTGTCAACGTTCAAGTGCTATTGACGTAGATGAGAAATGGGAAATGGCGGTGGTTGAGTCAGATCACTTAGTGTTGAAATCTTTAAGATTTGCCGCTTGGCGATTCATCTTCAAATAAATACGAAAGGCTTGACGTCAACCTCAGGAATCTTTACGGCTGGAGTTCATAAGCAGCCAACAAAATGGCGGAGGTTAGGTCTCGCCGAATTGATCTTTTGCCGTTTATCGTGTCATGACAGGGCTAAAAGTGGGGAATAATCCAGGAAGCGAGTTTGATCATTTCGCCGACATCATGTGATAATTTAATAATTTAATAATTTATTTCTAATATAGCAATGTTTACAATAAATAAGATCAACAGCGCTTTACAATAATAATAATAATAATAATAGTAGTAATAATAACAATGATAATGATAATAATGATGATGCTGATGATGGTGATAATAATAATAACAACAATAATAAGAAATATTTACAGAGATAACGTAAAAATATCTGTAAAGATAAATAACTGCTAAATTACAATGTATGGATAATGTCCAAAATAACAGTTTACAAAATGCAGGGTAACCTAACAATCTAGTGTACTATTAAGCCCTAAAAATACACATTTAACTCAAAAATTGACATCAAGAGAACACGATCTTAACTGCAAGAGCAGATGGTCTTAAAATTTATCCCTCCAGCACGGAACGCTGAGAAGTCGACATTCAGAAAACATCTAGCAAGGGAAAGGAGCCATAACAAACTGGACTAGCAAAGGATCGTAATTACAGAGGCGTCACACTCTGCTTGACAAACATTTGTCTTAAAACTTCTCTTAGTAAATGCGTTATATAGCACATGGTACCTCTTAGTGTGAAGCAGAAAAAGGCGGAAGACTAAAATCAATAAAAAAGCATATAATAAAAATATCAAAAAACGTAGGAGTTGTGTAGGTCATATCTGTGTCTCAGAAAACCACAAGGCACCTAAAATCGACGATCATATTAGAGGTCCTTGTGGGTGGTCTATAAGTGGAGGAAGGACCTTTTGTTAAGTTTGTCCACAGACGTTCACTCGCCTTCCCGCTTCCCTA